TTCAGGTGGGCTATGGCTACATTTGCCAGTGTTTGGCAGAATGTGGGATGAGGCCTCTAAATGAGTATCCAGGATTTATATAGCCCTTTAGTTGGCCCTTCTTCAGCCTGGCATAGTTCAGGCAGAGAAGGTCAAGAGTGTGCTAAGGCTTTGGCAAGGATGGACAGACAAGGAGAGGAAGGCAAAAAAACAAATCAACAAGGCCAGAAATGTTGGGGGGAGGGCTGGGGATAGGTGTCTGGGACAGTTGAGGGGATTGGGCTTGACCCACTACTGGGAGGTATAAGCAAGTGTCCCTGATTTCTAATTTGGGAAATAGCCATACCAGGGTTTCCAATCCAGCAGGCAGGCTGTCAGCAAAGGGCTCTGAATAGCAGAGAACCATCTGGAGGCAGGTGGCCACTCAGTGTTGTGTTGGGTATGAACATAGAATTGGTAACAGCCAGACAACAGAGCTAAGTTTCTAAAGCAGGGAGGCAGCAGACAGGGAAGGCTGAGCTACAAAATTTCGCCCTTCTGAGACATCAGAGGTGGAAAACCAGCAAAGAACACTGAGGCACCAAGGTTCCAAGACTCCTGGGTCACTTACTGTGTGATTGGCTGTGGGGCAATCCCAGAAACATGGCAGTAACTCACCCAAGAGGCGCTCTAGGACTTCTAGATTGCTGGTCTGGGAGCAGGGTCCATCTCTACATGCTTCCCCCTTGGGATGAGGGGTACCTTAGTCTGAGAGAGACAGAAGACTACCCAAGATTATGCTGGAGGAATGGCCCTTTAGTGTGTCCAGAGAAGATGGCCATGGAGTTGCTGTTTCTTGTCTGGGTCAGAGGCAGGTAGAGTGAAGTGACCCTAATTTTCAGAAGGCACCTAGAAAGACAGGGAACACAACCCATTGGGTGTTGCAGAGGCAAATGTTTAAACTCTAGCCAAAAACTGTCCTGATAGGCTGAAGGATGTTTCTCCCTGGGAGGCGACAAAGATCCTGACCCAGATACACTGTGATGACATAGGAGACATAAAGGAGAGCCATTTGGAGCTGCTGCAGAGACTGGTGACCACTGGCTGGAGAGCACAGTGGAAAGATCTAGGCTTCCCCTGGGATATCTCCAGGGTCCAGAATCAACTGCAACTTCTTGGTTACCTGAGAGCAAAACAGGCAGACCGAGGGCACCAGTAGAGAAAGAGCTTAGTTGGCTAAGCTGAAGCTGAAGAAGAGAGGTCATCAGGGACTACCAGATCATGGAAGCAGCCACCATGTGTATCCAGCAACTGTAAGTGATAAGGGATGAGAGTTTTCTGGGCATGCCTTGGGGGATGCTGCAGAGGCTTTGGATAATCTTGTAGTAGACTTCATTTGTGTTGTTTTTCTCCCCTTACGTTCTGAATAGAGGATTTGCAGGTAGGGTAATGAAGATTTTTCCAAGATGCTGTATTGCCTAGGGAGAGGTAATGATGTTTCTAATTCATAAGGTATTATTGACCCAGAATCTAGGGATTACTGTTTTAAGAGCCTCAAATGTTTCAAGCCTGATTAAAATTCATATTTATTTGAATGGCTATACAATGTAACAGTATTCCAGCTAGTGAACTGCAACTCAACCCTTAATCTTCATATGGAGATAGAAGAAAAACAACAAAAAGCATCCCTCCTATAACAGACCCAACAGCATAGCCAAAGGACCAAAGCATTAAATATCTGAATGTATATTTAATTTAAAACAAGGGAGCATCCTGTAACATATGACATAATGTGGCTGAGGACATGAAAATAAGGCAGCCAATAAAGGACCAAAACAAAGGACATAAAAATGATCCTATTCTCAGAATCCTGGGTGGGCCTTGTTCTCAGTTTTCTGGGAAAGATTTCTAAGTGATAAGTATATCACACTTACTAGCCCTTATTTCTATAGTAGCACTACACAAGGGTTGTAAGTGGTTTCTGTAGTGTAAGCTATGGTTCTGAAGTTTTAGGTCCTTAAAAAGTATCACATAATGGTGAACTACTACAAAACTAGAAATTCACAAGCAATGTGAAAAGCCAGAGACAGAAAGAAATGGAGACATGGGAAAACGAAATAATGTGTAAGAAAACTTCCAAGTTACTAAACAAGGGTTTTAGAGTTTTATTCTAGATCCAAGGCCAAATATTTATTACAGTGAAAAATAATTAACAAATGAGTTGTTCTTTTCTCTCCACATAAATTCCAAAAGCTAAATGTTATTTTAAATGTCTGAACGCAAGTGTTAATTTATGGAAGTAATGCCTGAGTTTGGTTCCCTTGAAGAAATTTAAGGTAGGAGGGGATAATGGTTAGAAAAATATGTGGAAGCCAGCTCACTAAGAAAGAAGAGTTTGGTGGACCAAATTAGAAGGGAGGAGTATAAACGAAATGTCCAGGGAAGCTCAAGGAACACATCACTTAGGATTCGTTAAGTATATAATGTTTGCTAACAAACATATAACTACTTTTTGAGCTTTAAACAGAATAATGAATTTGTGAACTATTTGTCTCTGTATGATTTAATTTTTGACAACTACAGTTGGAAAATGATAATACAAAACATATGGTGGTAAAAAAAGGCTGTGGTGAGTCCATTGTGTGTACCCAGCCATGAAATGACAGCATCTGTGATGTTTAATTTAGAAAAAAGAAGATGCTACTGTCATTAAAATACCAGAGTGGCATGCTTGGTTGGCTCTTCAGACAGAGCCTCATAGGGTCAGGGCAAGAAGGTCTATAGTCGGTTCTCATCTGTGCTCACTAAGCTCAGAGAATGGTTCTTCAGATCCTCACTAACTGCCAACCTATTAGTTACAGAAAGTACAACTTCTAAGTCATTCACATCCACTGAGGAGTCTGACTGGCTTCCTCCAGAAAATTGACAATGAGCAGCAAAATGAGTACCATAACGTTTCTTGGTGTCTAAGGAGTTGGATGATCCTCATGGCTAATGCCTGAAGGGATGCAAGCCTGATACATGACTGGTGTATGCACAGTATCTTCCATACCAGTGATAAAGCTGTTAATATTTTTTCTATTTTTTTCAAAAGTTACACATGACAGTAATAGTCTAGCTTTCCAGTAGGTATCCAGTAAGTAGGAAATCGAATCAAGAAAGTAATTCTTTAGGGGACTGGTAATATAGCAACAAGCTTTAATCCAAGCTTTCTGACCACAGAACTATCTTTTACTTTGCCAAATCATTAGCATTATTTACAAGCCGTAATTATTCTTACTACTATTACTTTATCAGTGATTAAGTCATGAAATATTTCAAGAAAAACAATGGTGTATCTTAACAGTGCAAAGAGATCAAGCCTAGGGAAAAGACTGAGAATACCCTGAGATCTTTGACATCCCTGTGGTGGAAGTTTATTGAACTCCTCTCCAAGTAGAATCCAATCAAGTGCCAAGGGTCATCAAGTACCACTCATTTCTTAACTCTAATATATTTGGGAGGATTTGATTCCTAGAGCATATTACATTTGTTAATGTCTAATGATGATGGATTAGTGAGAGAGTACGTGATATAACACTAATGGCTTGAAATGGCTGAAAGGCCTGGGCAAAAACTATGTAATTTTCACTGCTTCTGTTACATATCATAAAGTTAACACAGGACCCACGAGTATAGTCAAGTTTTAACTGTTGTTCATGTTTGGAGAATGTGAAAATTTACACTGATATTTCCTGTCAGCACCAGTCCCCAGCACACCAATGCTCACTTTCACGTGTTTTTTCACTCTTGATCTAAGGCAACTTTGGACTCTGGTTATGCTGATCTTACTATTTTTTTGAAAATCTTTGGTGCTAGTTGTATCCCATGTATAGTGTGTTTAATACATAAGATTGCAACCCAATGCAGTACTGATCATAAGCAAGGGGGGTCTGCTTTCCCAGCATTAAAACCCTACTAACTCTTGGATGATTTCGTTACTATTTTTGATCTTCAGTTGCTTTATCTATAAGGCGGAAATAACGTCTACCACAAAGCTGTTAAGAAGTTGGGAGGATTAACAAAAGAAAACAAGTCTGTGCTTACAGTGCTCAACACATACGGAAATATTTTTTTTCCACTCTTTTCTCCTTTTCTTGGGAAACAAGGGAAGCAGTCACTTGACTGATGTGCAAAGGAGATGGGGGTACTTAAGTGATATTTGTGCCCGCTCTGGCAAAGCCTAATTTTTAGTCCCTCAAACCTCTTTAATGAGAATATTCCTGGCAGCTAGATCAAGTACCTTTCTCCTATGGACGTGCTGAATGAAATTCTGTTGTCACCTCTCTCTCTTAGACTCCATGAGGCACTCCTCTCATGTCTTCAGACGTTTGCTTGGCTAGTGCTCTATTTACCAACATCTCGCCTTGGGGCGCGCCGGCCCTCCTGCGCTTGCCCAGCATCCTCAGCCGTCCCCCGGCGGACCCCAGCCCGCCTAGGCCTGGGGCTTCCAGTGAGCCTCCTCTACCGAAAACCTTTCCACCGTAGCACTTCATTTGTCTACCTGGATTTGTCTCCACTTCTTGTTAGAGACTATACTGCTGTTATTGTTTCATTACTTCATAAAGTTATGGGCTCGCAACAGGGGCTCAGTAAAAGTTGTCCCTTGGCTTTCTAGCCTGGGACAGCCCCAAGGAAATCGTGCGCACTAACGGTCGCACCCTACGTGGGTCAAGTAGACCAGTTAGAAGGCGTAATCAGGGACTTCTTTAGTCAAGGAAAGTTTTCTGCTGGGCCGAAGGGGTTGGGAGTGTGGGGCTGGTCCCCTCGGGGAGGTCGGCCGCCGCCCTCCACAGTGGTTCTGACTGCGGCCGGGAGCCCAGCACCTCGCAACAGAAAAGGCGGAAGCGGCTACTCTCAAAATCCGGCTGCAGATCCCGGCCGGCCCGGAAGTGCCCGGAGCGGGAGGAAGGGAGGAAGAGCCTCGCGAGCTCACGCCGCTGCCGCGCGCACGCGCTCTGGCAGGCATTGGGCTGGAGTCGCAACTCGGAAGCCTGCGCCTGGACGGGCCCGGGGAGGGCGGTAGGGGGGTGCGCTGCGTGGGGGCGGGAACGGCGGAGGCGGCCGCCCCTGGCGGCGCGTTTGTTTATCCCGGGGAAGAAGTTTAGGAGCGGGAGATAAGGAAGGCGGACGGGGAAGGAGGGATGCGGTTCGGCGGAGGCGGCCGCCACAGGGACTCGCCGCCATCACCACCGCCGCCACGGCCGCCGCCTCAGCCTGAGAGGAGCCGCTGCGGGGACTGCCGGCCGCCGCTCCGCACGTCCGGGTAGGTGCCCCTCCCCCTCCGGGGCCCCTGCCGCAGCCCCAGAGGCTCGCTCGCTCTCCTCCCGGCCGCGGCTGCGCCGGTTGAGGCGGCCTCCTCCTCACCCACTGCCCCCCTGTTCCTCTGGATTGAGGACCGCCGCTCCGGCAGCATTGCCGTCCCCTTCTCGGGGGCTGTCTCCGTCCCCCGCCCCCGCCTCTCAGCCCCCTCCTCCGCCTTCCGGACCGCCCTCTTCTCGTGAGTCTCTGCTTCCCCTGGGGACTCCGGTCCGCCTCCCCCGGCACCCCCGCACGCCACATTGATTTCCCAGCCCCCGCCTACCAGGATCTCCCTGACTTCCCTCCACAAGCTTCGCCCCTTTTCTTTTCCCAGTTTCTCTCCTTAATACCTGTGTGCCTCAACTCCCGCCCCTTTATACCTGTCACTTCTCTTTCCCACCCGAAGTACCGCCCAAAGCAAGAAACTGCACCCGCTCCCCACCTGCGCCCACATCGTATCTTTCATCCCAAACATATACACTCGAAATTGTCGTCTACGAAGTACCGCCCAAAGCAAGAAACTGCACCCGCTCCCCACCTGCGCCCACATCGTATCTTTCATCCCAAACATATACACTCGAAATTGTCGTCTGGATTAGCCCATTTTAGGGTGAATTCTCGGCTCCCCAGGCAGGCCACCGAGTTCCTCCACAACGGTGGTCATACCCTTAACCTCCCTACCTCCACGCACACATTGCCCTCTTAAATTCTCTCACATTCACCAGAGTACATCAAGCTAACTGCAGTACAGAGCCCACTCCTTGATTTCCTTCTGTATTCCCTTTCTCTGTCCTTTCCCCTGATTCCTCCTCTTGAGTCTATGTACTTGTGTACTGAATCACATTAAGGAAAAAAGGATGGTAGGATTCTCTCCCTCAAGGAGTGCATTCTTGTATCAGTAGAAATAAAGATTTACCCTTTGCTTTTCCCAAATTCGGCTTCTTCTCTGAATTGTCATTCAGCCATACTTTTGAGGCTTCTGATGCTTTGTCTATATCTGAATAATTCTGGGCCTCGATTGTTCCAACACTTGTCTTCTCAGTGTTTCCTTAAAGATGAATCTGCTTTCTTAGACTGGAGTCTTAAGTAATAAAAGGTTTATACCTTGGAAAATTATCTCTCTCCTGCCTTGATGGGAAAGGTGGAATATTTCAAATTATTATCCTGTCATTCTTGGGAGAAATGGTGCCTAGTGGTTAAGAGCTCAGATGCTGTTGCTGAACTGTCAGGCTCTGAAACCGTGCCTTGCCATCTTCCAGCTTTGGCCTTGAGAAGTTATTTAATCTCTCTGTACCTCAGTTCTTACAGCTATAAAATGGGGTTAGTAATGTACCTGATAAGATGGTGATGGTGATTGCATGACTTAATGTAGGTTAAATACAACAGTGCCTGGCACATGGTAAGGATTCAGTGTTCTTTATCATCACTTCTTAGCTTGACATGGTTTGCCTATTGGTAGGTTAATTGTGAGAGAGGAAGTAAGAATGGGAAGCTGCCTTCTTGATCTTTTTAAATTTGACAACTTTTTGATGTAGAAATGATTCATATTTTGTTACTGTATAAATTATTGTTTCTACAGAGAACAGTAATACAGACTGCGTTTTTGTAATTTCTTTAATGTGGCATTGATAGACTGTAAGCAGATGAAAGCATTTTAAAAGAGAAATATCAGTAATATTAAAGATAGTGATAATCCCTAACCTTAAAAAACACTGTCAGGTCCTGTGATACCTACAAGTCAAATGACTTATATATGTTAACTTGTTTAAAACCTCATAACAGTCTTTTGAAGAAGGCCTTTTTATATCTCCATTTCATAAATGAGGAACCTGAGAAATAGATCACTTCCAGAATCAGCCAGCTAAGTAAGCAATGAAGACATGCAATCTGGTTGTAGAATCTGTTACCTTTTCTTGCCTCACAGACCTTACTAGTTTCTTTAGGTTTTCTCTTTTCTGAAGATGTTTAAATCTCCACTGTGATGGTTCTGGTCTTTTTAGGTTGTTTAAGGAAGTAAAAAACATGTGTAAACTTTGTAAAGTTCTTTGCACACAGACTTGTCCCAAGACTTATATATGACTAGAGATTGAAGGCATTTGCATTTGGTGTTCCTGCTTATCATTTTGTTTCCTGACTTAAATTTATTTACTTAGGAAAAGTTTATTGAAAACTGATTTGTGCCAGCTCTGATTTGTACTAGGCTCTTGTGACACATGTTAATCGAAAGAGTGTACCTGTATTTATGGAAGCAAGTCTGTTGGGGAATAAAGAAACTAAACAAATAATAACAAAAAAAATAATTACAGCCACAAAGGAAAATTATTGTAAAATATGAAAGCCCACTAATGTATCAGGGACTGCTCTGAAGAAATTACTTTTAGGATGAAATCTGAAGGATGAACTGGAGTTACCCAAATGATGTTGTCCATTTCAGCTTTCTAGAACTGAAAAGTTCTGTGGCTGCTGGACACATAAGCACATAAGCACATAAGGCTGGGTGATGAAATGAGAGTGAAGCAGATCATAATGACCAATCATTGCTAAGCATTTTGTGCTTAATCCTAAGAGCAGTGGGAAGCCACTGGGGAATGTTACTTAAACTTTTGCTTTAAAAACATCACTTGGCTGCTTAAACAGATTGGAGAGAGGCAAGTGTAAATGCAGGGAGATCAGTTAGACTAGGGCTTCTGAAATTTACATGTGGTGAAGGACCCATTTTGTTTTTAGTCTCTAATCCATACTAGGAACTTGAGTAACACACAATAAAATTAATTTTGTGGCTGTGTCAAATTGCTATAAAAATTACTAAATGCTTCCTCTCCATTTCTGTATTTACCTTGTTTCAGACCAATAACAATAGTTTGTGGGCCAGTATTGGCCCATAGACCATACTTTGAGTAGAATTGAGTTCAGCTATTACTAATGTAGGCAAGAGATGATGGAAGCTTGGTCCAAGATGGCAGTGATAAAAAGTGGCTGATTTGACAAATCTTTGGGAAGTAAAATTGGTAAGATTTAGTGACAGATAGATGTGGGGTCTAGGGAGAGAAGAAGCCTAATTTGTGGGGTTAATGGTTCTTGTGCCTAATATAATGCTGGGAGAGGAGCAGTTTTTTGTTTATTAGTTTCTGGGAAGCTGGGTTAGGGGAAGAACTATGATAATTCAGTTGGGAATAATCAGTATGTAATTTAAAATTGATGTCTTAGTGTGGGAGATGGGGGATGAGACTGCCCAAGGGGAGAAAATATAAAGAGACTTAGTTTTCTATGAGTCTTCAACATTTAAACATTGGGAAAAAGCAAAGAAGAATGAGAAGGTGGTATCAGAGATTGGGGGAAATTTTCCTTGGTATTCTTGAAACCAGGGAATAAAACTAAAACTGTGTTGATTGAAGCTGAGAAATCGTAAAGTTGGGAATTAAAAAGTGCATTTTGGATTTAGCAACATGAAGAAAATGTTACTTTTCCTAGTAGTCAGTCCATCCACAAACTATTTGATAATGAATTTTATTTTAATCTGCCAAAGTAACAAGCCTAAATTTAGGATAAAATTATTGCTAGCATGAGCCATATCTTCCTTCCTGAGCTCAGACCCATGTTTCTATTTATCACCATCTGGATGCTGTATAAGCCAGCTCAAACTCTTTTTTATAAACTCATTCATTCAAAACATATTCAAGCAGAATAGTTTTTTAAGTACTATTTATCAAGCATTGAATACTAGACTTTTAGGAATGCAATTAGACCTCAGAAAGTAGGAGCAGTGGACAATTAAACACTGTTATTGTAGTGTGACTAGTGCTGTTATAGCATTTTATTCCAGCCTTGGAAGCACAGCGAAGGGGCATCAGGGAACACTTTCTAAGGAAAGGGATACTTGAGCAATGTGTTTCTGGAAGACAAGTAGAGAAGTGGAGAGGACAATGAGTGGTAGAGTATTTTACAGAAATGCTATTTGAGATATTTTGAAAGCATGTAAAAGTAAGGAATTGTGACTACTGCTTAGTGTTGGCAGGCCAGAGAGGTTGGCCGTGCTATTCAGAACTTTTCCTCTTGAACTTATCCCTCTTTCTGTTTGCTGCTTTGATTTAATTTCATCACCCCCATGTAGTCACCAAAAATGGAGATATCTGCTGAATATTTCCAAAAATTAAAGATAATCTTTGTTGTATTTATTGTCTAAGTTGATGTTTTATTTTTGTTGTTAGCATTATATTTTATGTATTACAGTTATACTTATAGAATCATTAAGTAACTAATAACATGACTTAAATATTTTGGTTATACTTTAGTGATTTATTCTTATGGGAGAGATTTTACGCATAGAACTTTTTTTTCAAATTTAGAGAGTTGAAAATGAAGGCCTTGGTAATGATTGGTGAGTTTGCCTCTGAACCTTAGGTTTATGGTCAGTGATGGTGCTTTTGGACTCAGCAGAGTAAGAACAGTCCCCTGATACCTTAAATGCTATTTTAGATAGTTGCTAAACCCTCCTGAATTTACATCTTTAGTGGAATACATTTCATCTGCAGAAATTACTTTCTGAAGAATGTAAGGTTGGCAGAACCTTAACTGGCAACAACAAAGCCTTACAGAAAATAGTATGTTAGAAGGGAAAATGGTGTTAAAAGTAGACTTTAAAAGCACAGTAAGTAAAGGTTCTAGAAGACATCCATTGTAGAAATAAAAGGGGGCAGGCTCTATCAAAACTTGCTTCTGAAACACTTTTTGAATTATTGTAGAAACATTGTATTATTCTGATCTGCTAAGGCAGCCTTCCTTAAATTTTGTATTAAGAAAATTATTGACCTACAGAATTTATTTTTATTAGTTCTTACTGGCTTCAGTATGTTTTACTTCTTGCCTTCTCTCTGGTTTTTAGTTTCTAAAATTATACTAAACTCTTGTGTAACAACTGTTTGCTTTTTGTATATTGTTATAGTTCTTACAGGCACACTTTGCCAG